TACTACTACTACTACTACTACTACTACTACTACTACTACTACTACTACTACTACTACTAACTACTACTACTAACTACTACTACTAACTACTACTACTAACTACTACTAACTACTACTAACTACTACTAACTACTACTAACTACTACTAACTACTACTAACTACTACTAACTACTACTAACTACTACTAACTACTACTAACTACTACTACTTACTACTACTACTACTACTACTACTACTACTACTACTACTACTACTACTACTACTACTACTACTACTACTACCTACTACTACTACTACTACTACTACTACTACTACTACTACTACTACTACTTACTACTACTACTACTACTACTACTAACTACTACTACTACTATTACTACTACTACTACTAACTACTACTACTACTACTACTACTACTAACTACTACTACTACTACTACTACTACTACTACTACTAACTACTACTACTACTACTAACTACTACTACTACTACTACTACTGCTACTAACTACTACTACTACTACTACGACTACTACTACTACTACCACTACTACTACTACTACTATTACTACTACTACTACTATCACTACAACCACTACTACCACTACTACTACTACTACTGCTACTACTACTACTAGTACTAGTACTAGTACTACTACTACCACTACCACTACCACTACGACTACTACTACTGCTGCTGCTGCTGCTACTGCTACTGCTACTGCTACTGCTACTGCTACCACCACCAACATGGTTCTCATTGGGAGAAATGACTTGGGAGGGCAAAAAGGTAGAAAAAACGATAGGTTTGGCGTTAAGGTGAGGTTTGTACCACTGTTTTGTTCCGCTCTTACGACCACTACTACCACCACCACCACCACTACTACTCCTACTACTACTACTACTACTACTTCTACTACTTCTGCTACTACTACTACTACTACTACTATGCTACCAGTACCTCTAGGCTTAGGCGGGCTGTGCTTAGGAGGGCTTAGGAGGGCTGAAATAACGATAAAAACGCTGTAGGAAAAGAACGATAGGTTTTGGCTCCAGAAAGGAGAAAAGGAAGAGCAAGAACGCGAAAAGGAAGGGAGGGATTCCGTGTAAAAAAACTGAAAAATCGATAGGTTCTGATTCAACAGTGAGCAAGTCAATGGACGGGAAAAAGGAAGAGTAAGAGGAAGAGGTAAAAGGAAAAAGAGCGCGCGAAGAGCGCGCGCTCGGGGATCATGCTTAGGACGGCTAATTGGTGCCATATTCTAATTGGGTATATCATAGTATATCAACTTAAATTTTTATTTCATAATAAGGTAAGCAAACTAACAATCTTATGTTCAGGTTTTCGCGCAGTTTCCCACCAATTAGTTTTCATTAGTTCAGTGCACTGTGCGGCCAGTTTGCGCCAAAACAAGGTGTGTTTTTGCTCCTGTTAATATGGCAAACGTGTGGTCTTGTAAGTTTGGCAATTCTGTTTTTCCGTAGCCGAGTGTTTTCTTGGCCCACACTTTCACTGCAACACATTTTTAGTTGGTTGTTCTTTAGGTGCACTTAGTTTTTCTTAGTTCAATGCTTAAAGGCATCTCACTCCCTTACCCCTATGGGTGCAACTCTCACTTTGACGTCAGACCCAGCAGACGCCCGGGGGGGTGTTTGACCAAAGGTGAAGTGAAGAGTCTGTAATTGAAGGTCTACCTTCAAACACACCCAGATATTGTATTAACATGTTTTAAGCGAGTGCCACTTCGCTTTGAGAACCACATCTTCCTGCTCATAGCCCGAGTGAAGGTGACCCCACAAACCCACTGAATTTTTGCACCGGTCGTTTCAAAAGCGGGGTCAGAAATCTGACGACAAATAGATGGAACCATATTGTATGGATATGGAAACAAACAATGCAAATATGTCCTTTGGGAATAAACTATATAGTACTGATTCTATCCATTTCATTGGCTCCACTTGTTGGAGCCTTTCCGAGTTTCCATGTGTTTCCATCGCTAGAGAGCGAGCCTCCATCTGTCCACTCCGCCAAGATCCCAAGAGAGGTTGAGAGATAGAGGAACGAGGACCCCGGTCGTGCTGTTCCACATGGGGTCCGGCGAAAAAGGGCTGTTCAACCTCTCATAGGGAGCTCCCCCTTCCCACCCGCGCCACACCGCCTGGCTTCGACCGCACGCCGCGCCGCAACGACGAAGACGTCCGACCTCGCGCGAAGCCACGCGGCCACCGAGTCGCAGCAGCCCTCGGAGAACTCCAACAACTTCGTCCGGGGACTCGGGGCGCGCGCGCAAACAGGTGGTGTGGGTGACCTGAAAAATGGATGAAAAATTGACCGTGTGACCGCCTGTGACGGCGAAGCGGTCCGTAACAAAGGCATCGCTACTAGTAACAAGGGTATAACTACTAGTAGCATCTAGTAGCTGTACAAACTACTAGCAACAATAGGCCCATAACCTCAGGTACCCAACTGGGATAAGTCGAACTGTCGGGTTCTTCAACCGATGGCAGATCAACCGCCTGAAAAAGGCGGGTAAGGAATGGTGACGGATGGAGCGAGCTCGACTCGGCTCACCGAACTTTGGGGAACAGAGCTCCTCCAACTGACTCACTACCCAGAGGCTCATGGACCCTCAAACTGCTACATGTTTGAGGTCCAGTTCACCCTGGCTGTGAGGGTCAAAACCCTGGCGAAATGAGGGTCCAATGAGCCTTTGGGAAACATTGTTACGTGGAAAATGGGGCCCTGGAAGACGACTGTCCTCTACAAAGAGGCGGTTTTTGTCCACTGCCCTTTTTTTAGTGAGTGCAATACTTGTTCTGCCATTTCATCCAACAAAAACAGCCAAGAGTCCAAGAGGCATAAATGTCGCGTAGTTGGAAGATCCAGATATAATGCTTTCAGAGTAGATGGCACCAGTTTCACAAGCTGGATCCAGCGGTGAAGTAGTGGACCCAGTAGTGGACCCCCATCGTTTCAAGAGATCTTGAGGTGACGACTGGGCCATCTACTTTGAAACCATCCAGGAGTTCCGTGGATCACCTGGAAAAACCCAACTTTTGGGACAGCTGGTTTTCCCCCATCTGAAACTCCCTAGGGCTCCGAGTGCATTCTAAGAAGGTGTTTGGGGTGGGTTTAGAGGGTCCAGTCGTACCTTGTGAGGAGGTACGACTGGAGCCCTAGGGACTATTAATGGTTGAACAGTTCGATGAACATTCCGGAGATTGCCCGCATTGGGGAGCATAGGAGGCGGTTTCAACCGCAACATGTTCGACCCCGCAAGACCCAGTAGCCTCCAGTTCTGTCCCTGCTCGTTCGGTGGGAATCATTGGGGGGGGATCGAAGTTGTTGTGGACAAAGGGTCGGGTTCGGAATCAGGTTTTGGTTCAAAGACGGAGGGTTTTGCCGGGTCGAGAAGCGATTTGTGTTGGCTTTGGACTCTCTTCATGTCAGGTTCAGAAACTTCTTCAGAAGGTCGTGGGTTTCGGGTGGGTGGTGGCGGGAGATAGGAAAGGATTGACATCATGATCATGTCGGATATGGAGAGCGCGAGCGACGCGTTTCCGAAGCCCAACGTTTTCCCAAGCGGCTTCATCTTCCGACCCAGGCGCGGCACTTGATCCGCCACTTTGCGCGAGGGAGGCGGTCGATTGGGTGGGTCTTGAGTGGACCTTGGTTCGCTGCTGAGTGCGGGAGTCGGGAGACGCTCCAACCAATACCTGCAACCCCAAACGATCAGATCATCGCTTTTTGGAGTCTGTTCTTTAGCCAGCAGGGCAAGGGTGTGTAGGGGGGTTCTAAACGTTGTTCTTTAGCCAGGAGGGGTGTGGGGGGGCTCTCCCTATTTTCAAGGCACGCTCAGTCATGTACCATGGATATGATAATAACTTTTGCAAACAGCTTAGTGTTTAATGGTTGCTTAGTCTTTCACTGAGGCTAGAAACTCACGCCTTATAACATGGACGTCCAAGAAGGCCAAGTAAATTTGTAGGTCTATTGCACGGTCATGTTGTGTCGGAGGCGCTGTAGGAAGTGGAGGCTGCGTGTGCCGTGTGATGTTCTTACGGGAGTCCCAAACTTACGGGGTCGGGGTCGAAGGTGTTTGCCATCTTTCATCCATGAGTTCTTTCAGTCATGTTCCACTGTAGAGGCCATCCTACTAAAACCCAAAGGCTCCACACGACTGGAATACAACTCATATATACTGTACTACACTCCCTGAAAGAATCATCGAAGTGGATGGCAGGGCCCCGAAAGGAAGACCATATCAAACAGGTAGTCTTCACTCCACGAAACCTTGAGGAATTCCGGGGAGTCTATAAGCTGGCCAATTACTACTCCGAAAGCATATTAGCATCCTCCGAACCTCTCCTCGGCGACGGACGGGTCCAATTCCAGTTAACAGTCGGTAAAAACACACATCACAATTTGGGAGATGTCCGCCTGCAACTGAACATCTCCTAACCATCATCATCTTCTTCATCTACAGGGCCCTGGTGATGGGATGTAGCCGAAGCCATTGTTTTTTCGGGGGCCGACCCTGACAGATGAGCCAATCTCAAAGTCCAATCCATCCCTATCCGCTCTAGTCGCTTTCAAAACGTCACTTCAGTCGTGTTTTTCATTCCTTCGCTGAGGAAGATCACGCCGTTCAACAAAAACACGGAAAAATGACTTTGTGCGTCTACTGATTTTTGTTTGGTTTGGTTGCTCGCAGGTGTTTCCAAAGCCGGATGATGTATATACGCTCCTTGGCATCTCTTGAACCGACGATGGGTTTGTTGCAGGGCGTGTGGTTGGCTGGCTCACATGGGCAGGGTCTTTTTCAGTCACAAAGACATACCCTACACCTCCAAGTACCCCCTCAGACGGTGTTTAGACCCTCCTGGCACCCACCCCAGTCCCACCTTCTCAGGTTCGGTACAACTGGAGGCCTCTAGGGATAGGGGCCTATAGGGGGTCTGGAAGAGCGCCGTGATGTCAGCCAATGACCGGTCGATGTGGCTAACATCGGATGCAAGGTCAATGGCTTTGAGGAACGGACCGCGGAACGGACCGGGGGGGGGGGTGAACTGCGAACTGAAAAGACAGGGGTCGAAACCAGGACCTGAGGACCTGCAGTAGCTTTTTGGAGTCGATCGTTTGCTCTGTTTGTGACCTCTTTAGGGGACGAGCGATCGTGACCTCAGCCACTAGGATCTCAAGTTAGATCACGTACTGAAGGTCCTGGTCCTGCAGATGTTCCCTGAAACCTTTTCATTGGTCGAACCGAGAGATGAGTCTGTACTTCCAGAGGGATCCACACTGAGGCTGCGGCCGCACCACATTGCCACCTGATCCCCCGTAGTGGGCGACAGGACATCAGAGCAACGCGGATGAGGATGATTATAGTAGTTGATGTTGGGTGGCCAGGTGACCAGGAAATAGAATTGGGATGTGGTCTCCAATCCCTCCAATCTCAAACCTTGTTGACCTTGAAGGGGGGGGCTTGATGAATCCGGTGTGTGCATTACTCAAGGAGGTCTTAAAGACTGGGTCTCTACTGGGTCTCTTCTAGGACGTACGTATAGGGGGTATCATGTTCTGCTTCGACCTCTCCACCCGCTCCGCTCCGCCCGGCTACCCGTGTACGTCGTCCCCGAACGACGACGTGGGGGGCTCGGACGTCCCCAAGGAATGTGCGACTCGGTGATTCGAGAAGCACCCGTCCATGTCTTCACAGTGACCCGACTGCAGGATGTTAGGACTGAGGAGTGACGTGACGTGACTGAGAAGGAGGGGGGAATGTTTGGGGATGGTCTTTCAGTGAATGAGGCGTGAACGACGCATCCGCAGTGGACGGCTTTCAGCTCCATCCTGTGAGTGGATGTGACAGGGGCACAGCGGCTGTGACGGGGGCACCCTGACATGCAACTCCTAGTATTGTCAGACACTTTAATTACACTCCCTCGAACTAACATGGAAGTGGAGAATGGCCTCGAAAGGAAGACCATGAAATCCACTACAAACAGGTGGTGAACTCCACGTAACCATGTGAATTCCAGGGAGAGTATGTCCAATATGCGAACGTTGACCCCTTACTAAAACCACCCCAAGGTGATTGGCCAATGACGGCAGTCCTGGGACGTGGAGAGGGGGTTTGTGGGACATGCGGCGACTGTCAGACTGTCGCTGAGATGTGGGCCGGCGTGTCGTTTCCAGTCTGTATTTCCCGAAGAATCCATGTGGGGGTTAGAAAAAGAAAATGGTTTTAAAAAAAGAAGTCTTGTGTTGGGAATTTGAGCCAAGAGATCTGAGTTAAGGTGTAAGTGGCCTTGGGATGGTCGCTGGAAGCCCTGTAGGGACCACACAGTCGTTTGATCAAAGATGGAAAGAGTCGAACCGAAGGACGCAAGAAGGACGCGCCTGTCGTGCCGGTGAGTCAGACGGTGTGCACCCGCCGAATGGAGGGTTCCTGGGGTGATAGACAAGTCGATGGCACAGGACAACATCTTACTCAGACACTCCATGGGACTGGAATATATATGCCGCCCCATTGACCCCCCTGGCACCACCCCAACTGATCGGCATGCATATATGGCAGTCCCATGGAGCGGTTGGGTTAGAAAGTTATTTACACCTGAAAAGAAACAAGTTAGGATAGACATCCTCTTGTCATTCTTTTTCACTAGCCTGCTTTGCGAACAATAGCAAAGAGTGTGTGCCTTATAAGGGAAGTTGACCTACATCCATGTGGCTTCAAGTCCATCGTTCTGATGCAACAGGCGGGATTTGTTGTCAAGTAAAGCTCCTAGGATGCGCCAATCTGTAGGACCCCAGAAATGAACCTCTCCCCAGTTCCGCACAACGGCACCTTCATGTCCCTCACCGGGAACATTCCGCACAGACGACGCGGAACGGGTGGTCACCAGGTGCTGTCCATCCGACCCACTGGGCACACGCCGGCAGCGCCTGGCTCGTGGAGCCTGAGGACCTCTTCATGCGGCCCTTGCTGTTTCTGTCCTTGGACCCGGTGAAGAACGTGCGACTCTGTTGGGTCGGGAGCGCCCAAGGGACACGGCAGCGCCCACCGCGGAGTGCGATGGGGGGTGGGGGTTGTGTCGAGGGTCGGCGATGGGGGGTGGGCGGGGCTGATCGACGGGCCTTGTTTGGCTGTTTTTGGTCGGCATCCATGAGGTGCGCCGATTTTTGCTGGTGTGGACTGAGAGAGGAGAGACTTAGGGACGACTGTAAGAGGTCTTTTTAGTTGGACAAAAGGCTAGTTCGAGGTTGGAAGTGTTTTAAGGATATCTCAAGGGGGGTCCAATTTGTTGTGCAGTGAACTACTCAGCACATGTTTTTTTGAGAAACCCTTGAGCGACTCTTTAGAAAGATGAGAAAGACTCGAATCAATGGCCGTTCATCTTAAGGGTGACGGTGACCTGCTTTTTGAAAACAACAACGAAACGATCTTCGATCTTCTCCGCTACTATGTTACCTGCTGCCTTCTTCTACGTCCGCTGTGAGGCCACCGTGATCTTGCCTCACTTGCGCAAGGTGGGACGCCTGGGCCGCTTGGGCCGAATCAAGATCGAGAGCGCCGCGGACCCCGTCGCTCCGTCGGTGGAAAACCCACCGACGAAGCGAGGCAAGGAGACACGGGAATCCACGTGGATCGCGTACGGTTGAGGTGTTGGAGACACTGTGACATGTAGAGGTTTGGAGGTCCAGTCGTACCTTCAAGGCTTCTATTATAGGGAATCTCCCTTTAAAGAATTCATAGGGAGGTAATGCCAATGGTGATGCAATGACCTCACAAGGATCCTTTGCCATGAATTTTTGATGAAGGATTCTTCCACCCTTCCCTCTGGCGCCGAGCGCATACCATGTCCGCAAGAGAAAGGCATTTGAAAGCCATCAACTCCTTTGAAAAAAAACACCCAGCCTGCCTCCAAACGTCCTCGAAGAAGGAGGGTCAGTCAATCCTGTCATTCCCAAAAACCATTGAAAGACTCGCTCACCGCAAACCGCCCTCTTTTGGGGGGCGGCCGCGTTTCAACCTATGTCGCTCACACCATCGCCCACCGCAAAAGACCCCCAACCTGTCAGCTCGCCTGCCCATCGCCCGCCTGCCTTTCGCGTGCCAAACCACGCGCGGTCGGTGAGGCCAAAACCGCTTGGTCTTGGCCGCCGCCGTGAGCCTGAGGAGCACCATGGATCGGGAGGCAGGACTGTTCCGCGAAGTCCTTCTGCGCGAGCGACGTACGCGTGGCGAGAGGGGCGAAGATCGAATGAAAGAAGACACAGACAGGGTGCCGAAAGGGAACATCCTGGGGGGGAGGGTGTTCCCGAACCGGAGGGGAAGAGCAAGATGATGTAAGATGCACTTCATGAACTGTCCAGGGTTGGAAGTATATCATGGAGTCTTGAAGTGGGTTTTAAGCTATAGACACCCTAACCTCCTATCCAGGGTCAAAGCCCTCCAGTTCGCAGGTGTCCAATGATGGTTAGGGCATGTTAGGGCACGTCATGTTTGGGTGTTTGTATGACGCGGTTCTGTGCGATGGACGCTGGCTACTCAAAGCATGTTGGAACGCTCATTGCAGACATTGCAGACTATAGGATGATGTTCTACTTATGATGCCAAAGGTGGTATGTTGGGAGGTCATGGACCTCAGAAACATTGGATCTGAATTCAGCAGGAGTTCTTGAAAAAAAGGCTGGTGGACACCAATTGAGTTCAGAAAAGAAATGGTGAATGCCTTCGGCCGAACCCATCACATCCACAAGTGTAAGACACCGGGCTAGATTTAGAGAATACACTCCCGAAAACTAACATATACCCTGACCATGGTCCATGGAAGACTATTTTCCTCTACCAACCCGGGTTTTCAGGTTCCATGGTGGTCTTCCAGAATGTAGTCTTCCAACAGGCCATGCTATCCACTTCCACATCAGAGAGTGTATACCCTACAAGTCTTTGACCTCCTTGAGCAGTGTGAACTTGCATGACCAACTGCAGTCAAATGAGTTCCTGACCTGTCCGTGCACCACCTTAATTGGATTGGAATCAACTTCTTGCAACCAATCATGGCTGGTCCAAACTCAGACCATGCAGCCAATAGTCTCTTCTGTTCCTTCCTCTCGGTGCGATGGCGTCCGGGACCCAGCGTCCGGGACCAGTTTAGCTCCGTTACTTCTGACAACCCCCGAGGTTTGAAGAGCACAGCTTCACCCCTGAAAACCATTGATTCCTGGCCCCTGAGTGTCCGCTGCCACCGTGAATTGCAAAGTCATCCACGAATGTCCCATTTCGGAAAGCAAGCGATAACATGTTTTTCTTGAACCTTTAGCTATAGGCTACCAGAGGCCCCACAAACCATCAAAAACCGGGTTTTGCCTAACCAAAAAGAACATTGTGTATGGTTCCAAACCTGCATTTTTCATGGTTTGGACAACGGCCCGGTATAGCCATGCTGTTCGTTGCTCCATCTTCGCTGTTTGCGACCTCCGCACCACCGGCGAACGCCGCGCAGGTGCACCGCGTCTTGGAGGAGGCCAAGCTGCCGGAGGTCTCAGACGAAGAGCCGGGCGGCCCGGACGGGGCACCGTCGGAGCGACCAGAGTGAAGTGCGATGAGCGAAGAGCGTCGCAGCTCCAAACAAGTGCGGAGGTGCTGCGACGTGTTGTTGTAAGAAAACTGGCTCCTCTCTCCTCTCCTCTGCTCTCCCCTTCTCTCTCCTCTCCTCTGCTCTCCTCTCCCCTTTTCTCTCCCCTCTCCTCTTTCCTCTCTCCTCTCTCCTCTCTCCTCTCCTCTCCTGAAAAGTTTACCTCCCGAGAAGCTGCAGACGATCTCAAGAGCGGAAGCCAGCAAGATACGTAGCAAGCTGCTGCTAGAAACATGTTGTTGTTTGATGTTGTTTGTGTTGTTTTGTTTTGTTTTGTATTGTTTTGTTTTGTGTTGTGTTGTGTCAGGTTGTGTTGTGTTGTGTTGTGTTGTGTTTGTTTTTTGTTTTGTTTTGTTTGTTTGTTTGTTTGGTTGGTTGGTTGGTTGTTTGTTTGTTTGTTTTTTTGTTCGTTTGTTTGTTGTGCTTGGTTGGTGCCCACTTGGTGGATGGATGGCTTGGTTGCTTCGTGGGGTACTTGGTTGGTTATTTCAACTTATTGTGTTCATTTGAGATGATTAACAGTATTCTGGTTATGTTCACTGACCTTATTACCATTTGGGATAGCCTCGGTATTCAATACCACCGTCTTCTACCAAGACGACATGTTCCATATTTATAGCATCTTTGCAACAGCCGGTATGATGTGCCACACGGCATTGAGAAAATGGTCTAGATAGGATGGCATTCCTTTCGCGAATGGGTTGTGTCGTGGTCTTCAATATTCCTTTGGTGATTGGAATCCTATACACTGGAGACTAATTGATTGTCCTAAAAGGGGGCTGTGCAATTTGCCAAGATTGGGTGTGGTACCAAGAGTCTATTTTCATCGCAGACAATCCATGTACGGAATAGCTATACCTGCTCACAAATGGGGTATAAATGATGAGGAGCTAGACGATGAGCTAGACTATGAACTAGATGATTTTTCTATACCCCTGGCAAATGTCAACACTATGAAACTCACTATAAATGTATGCAACAGGGAGTGCCTGGGTATGGTTGGTAATGCTGTGAGGGATTGGACAACATGAGCCCACCTTGTTCCTCGAGGCGGTGACCTCTAGAAAGGCGACCCTTTTAGTGACCTGTTTGAGACTCAAGTTTGGAAAGCAAAACCTGGCAAAGGATCTCAGTGAGAATTCTTAAACCTACCTAGGCAGGCAATTTACATATTAATTGACAGCGGATTACGGGTGTCGTGGTTTGGTGAGCCAAGATCCAGGATAACAAGGTGTCACCCCACCTATAATGAGGCAAAATATGAATATAGGCCCCAGTCTGACTTCGACTTCGACTTGTCCAAAGACTCTTCAAATCAAATCGGCCTCAGCCAAAAAAACACCTGCCACCAACTAACCGCTCAGGATCGCCAAGCTTTTGGAGGTGCCGCCGTTTTCGGGTGGGGCCGCGCCGAGACGCCGAGTCCCAGACACGACCTGTCTGGGACTGCCAGCCAGGACTGCCGCCCCCTAGACAGACCCCCAAACCAACCACCCCTGGCCGGAACTCGCAGTGCTGGCAGTCCCAGACAGGTCGTGTCTGGGGGTGATGTGATCGTCGTTGGTTTGGCTTTTGGTTTCCACAACCAGGAAGGAAACCACTCCCAGACACTCCATGCGGGACGATGGACCGCCTCTTCGGGAAAGCCGAAAAACGAACCCTGAAGGCATCGGCCAGTCCCAGACAGGTGGTGTGTGGGACGGCTTTTCATTGGCCAACCTTTACTATCCCTACTTAGTGGTTCAGGCCTAATTATGGAACTTGTATTGTTATAACCAGCGTCTTGTCAAAACCAGCGTAACCTTTACCAGTTTTTCATTGGCCAACCTTTACTATCCACCTCCAGTCGCACCATCCTCAGGTTTGGTATTTTCCTGGACCCGAAGCACCCAACCCAGTCCCACCGAACCTCAGAAGGTACGACTGGAGGCCGAGGGTATAAGAGAATAAAAGGCGTTTGCTGCTGGGTGGTTTTCCCTAGACTTCCCTTGGACTGTTCCAATTGGGAAAGATCGTTGTCGTAAAAACCTTCGTCAAACACGGGTCGTTCGGGATTCAGCCGATTAAATTCTGGGAGGGCCAGGAAGCTCAAGGTTTTGAAGCCATTTCAACCACGCGCGAAGAAATGGCTGCTTCCAGTGTATGACAGGCAGTCCGATCGAAGATCGATGTTCTTCCAACTCCAGGAACTCAAATGGTAGTGTTTGGTTCCCTCGGTTTACTCCAGTGTTTTTGGGTTCACCGCACCGGTTTTTTTGGAAGTCTTCAATCAAGTCTCAGTTCGATGCACATTTGGATACATGGCCAACTGTTCTCCATCCGCGTGCGAAGAACAATGTTATTCCCAGACGCGACTAATGGGACTGCCATAGGACTGCCGATCAGTTGGGGTGGTGCCAGGGGGGTCTGTCTGGGGCGGCAGTTCCTATTCCAGTCCCATGTGTCGTGTATGGGATTGCCAGCAGAGGTGGGTCAGAACCCTAAGTTCGACTATTTTATACGTTTTATAGGTACTCCTGGTTTTCCGGGTCCTAGTTCAGGTCACTGGCTACCTCTGTAGGTGTTTTGAGGTTTGCATGGTTTTGCAGCGATGCCGCAGGGTCTACCCCGATCTCTCTTCAGATCCCATGAGCCATTGCATGGCCAGCTGTCGCCAGCTGAGTCAGGGCGGTCTATACTGGGGGTTCAGTGACCGTAAATAGGACCCATACCTGGGGTACTGGTGGTTTAGGACAACCCATCATGTTCAACCACTTTATGCGATGCCATCGCGCTGGCGAAAACACCGCCGACCCCTCACAACGACCCCCCAACAGACACCCCGCGTCCCCCCGGGCCGAAGCCATCCTGGTGCGGATCAGGGGATGTGGTAACGATCTGGCATGGGACATCATCGTAAATGGTGGGATCATTTTACTTAAGAGAGGCATGGGACATTATTTTGCGAAAAAGGGACATTTTTTGCATCAGGTGATGAGTTTTTGGAAGTTTCCCTTAAGCAAATCCAAGCATTTGCCGAGAATGTTGAGTTTACTGCCAGAGAGTCCTGCCAGATGCGTCCTGCAGGCACCGGCAGGTAAGCTCGCTCGCGTCCTGTTTCGGCTCGCTTGGGACGATGTTGGAAGTAAACCGTTTTCAACATGGGACGCTCCTGGTGTGCAGGTTCCCACCACAATATGGGGACTGGCAGATTTGCCAAACATATATATATCTTTAGGTGGTTTTCAAGGGTCAATCAATAGTTCCATCGGACTGTCCATATACATAGAGTGTTTGGGAAGACTCACGACGTGCCACGCGAGCCGCCCCTGAAGACCGGACGCCGTTCTGCAGGAGAACCAGATCAACGCCCAGTGTTTGCAGAACGAGCTGGACGACACCGACAGCGGTGTGGAGAGCAGCGATTGAAACGGGGTGTATCGATGACCCCGGCTATGGAGGGAACCAAAGGGACCAATGACCTTTATGGAGGGTTACAAGACCCGGCCTAATAGGCTCCAAAAAGTGCTGTTTTGGCAAGGGTTTGGACCACCAAACCTTCACCGGCAAATCGGGTCCATGATTCTTAGGGAAGCATGCTTTTGGGGGTCCAAGCAGGGAGCAATAGGGGGGGGCCTGATGGGCTTCCAGCAGGGGAGCTCCTGCATGCTGGGCCATGCATAATGCGGAGCATGGTTCAAAAGATGAGGAATGCTCCCCAGAAGTCCTTTCAGACGATATACTGTTCATTACCTTTCCATCTTTCCCTGTATAAGTGAAAAATAAAAAAAAGTTTTCTCGGTCCTTCTTTGCCTTGACCATCATTGACTCCTGGCAAATTAACATGGAATCCCAAAACCACTGGTAGAGGAAAACAATCTTCCAGGGGCCCATGGAGTCTACGGGTCCATGGGTTGAGGTCCGGCGGGGAACACTGCCGTTCCTGAGCTGTGCAGTCCTACACTTGCGGTTGCGGTCCGGCAGGGAACACTGCCATCCGACACTCGCCGTTGAGGAGGACGACGAGGAGGGCGAGGACAGGCGAGGAGGAGAGAGGAGAACAGCGAGGCAGTTAGCATAAAAACTGACAACCCTCACCTGACATGTGGGGAACAAATACTAGCATCAACAGGCAGCTGCGTTGGCTTGCAAAAATGCAAAAGTCCCAGGACGACCAAGTGGCGAAAGAAACCCTATAGCCCGTGACTTGCAGGAAATGTGACTCCCTGAAGCCATGAAAATTCTTTTGGTGTTGGCCCTATTATGACTCAGGACCTGGATTCTCGGACGCCACAGCGTGTCGAAGGACGCCAGAGCACCATAAGCTGGCTGGAAGATACAAATGTGACCGGATCCCGCCACAGCTTAGCGAATCAGCTTGAGGCAAATCAAACAAAAGGAGTCGCAGCAAACACCAACCAAGGCCAGTGACACCAGCACAACTCTCCTTCTCACCGTCGCAGTTCGGACGTTGGAAGACTGGGATGGGCCTTCCCTTCAAGAATCGCAAGCTGTCAAGACCGGCGCGCAGGTGATCGACCGAGCACGGGGTCGTGTAGATCCCAATAGGGCCAAATGTGCAGATGGCTTGAACCCACACATTATGAAGCATAACGGGTATGTGGAGTTTTCTGAGTTTTCAGCACGCTGTGGGAAAAGCTTGTGGAAGAGTATAGGCAAAAAATGCATCAACGTGAAGACGCCTGTTCGCTGACCTGCCGAAAAGACGAGAGGGATGAAATTTTGAGACATGGAAACCGTTAGCGCAGTGTGATTTGTATAAAATGCTGCCTGGAGTGGTAAACAACACCCTGCAGCTTCACAGGCGCCATGCGCTGTCCGGGCCGGTGGAGCAGACGCCTCACACCTCACTGAGGAAAATCGCTTGCAAGCAGCTGCGCTGATTCACAAGTACGTCCGGGATGCCATGAAGAAAAAACCAAGGCGAGGCGCTACCGGCGCCAAGACCACCGCAGAACATA